CTTAGAATGTCCCACTCCTGCAACATAAATCTGAATAGCAAATATGTCCATACAAACGAGCTGTTCATCCAGAAGAGATTATAAACCTTGAGCATCAAGAACAATTACACACAGCAGAAGATGAAATCAGAGAATGGTATTATAGCTAAATTATGGATTATACTTCCTTTGAAAAATCAGCATACGGATGATATGAAATGAGAAGATGCATTTTCTGGTTATTATGAAGTTGCGTTGGCTGGTTGCATGACCAACATATGAATCATAATCAAAAGTACCAGCTGTAACATCATGTATTACAGTGCAAAGAACGATGAGATAATCAATAAAAACCAGCAGAGAAGCAGAACTGGCCGTCTGGAGAACACCATTGGGCTATATTGGAACACATGGTGTGCAAATAAGTTTCTTTAGAGTGAGAGTCTATATTTTTTGCTAATTTTAAGCTGTTTACTTTGGAATCAAAGTGTGTAATTAAGATGTCTAGTTCAGCTGTTATCAGGTATTTGGAAATGGAAGTACAGTCGAATTCTAACCAATAAACACAGTGAAATAACGGTTGGACTAAGTTGACAACATTTGCTTGGGAAAAACAAACATTTTCTTGTTTCTTTTTACAAAAATGATGAAAGGAATATGCAGAAATGAACTTGCTTTTTCTAGTCAAGAAATGGTAGATTTCACCACAGTTATTAAAGGATATATTGAAATCCAGCCATTACCTTCTTCATCCTAAATTACATAGCAGAAATCAATGCAAATAGAAAACTACATGTTATTTTGTGCAGTAAGAACATGATCCAAAGTTTCCTGGATACAATAAAAAATATCTCAACTTCAATGGATTTGTGATCAGGCCCCACTTCTTTCACTTATGAAGAATTCATTTTTGTTTTTAGAATATAGAGCAGAAACACTGAGAACAGATTCTGCTCTGAAAACACTGTAGTGCCTCAGAAAGCTACGTGCATCTCTGGGAAGTTAAATTAACCATGACAATATGTCATTGAATCAGAAAAACAGGAGAATTTGAATCAAAGTTGATAATGAACTTCAAGGAGGAATCGTTCGTGTCTGTGCTCATTAAAAAACAGGGATTCAAGCAGTCCAATTAGTGTCCATGCATGAGACTAAAAAGGCCATAGTCCAAACATACAGCAGTGGAAATTGTAATAAAAGATGTTTTGTTCTTGTTTATAAGTTATTTTGTGAATTTGTGAAACAACAGGTAAATTATTTCCCCCTCTTTCACAACTATAGGCTTTCCTGTTTCTTTGAAAACTTGTTTCACTTGGCTTCAGATTACTTTTTAAAGAAAAAGTAAGCATCTGTAGTTAAATCCCCATGTGCAAATAACATCAGAATTAATTGCAGATTAATGCAACTGGATTGGAACTTTTTAAAAGGATAGTATTTTGGAATTGTCTCCTCTTTAAGGAATTGTCTCCTGTGTGTAATAGAAAGCAGCAGGAAAAGTGAGATGATTTGCAATGAAATGCTTTAGCTATCTGAAAGGTAGGCATGCTGTCTAGGCACTTATCACCTCCTTTTCTAGGTTAATGGAGATAGCTGTGTGAATAATTCCATATAGCTTTAAATAAGGAATTTATAATACCTTTGGGAGGTGTCCTCCTTTTTGGAGGACCCTGAATGACTGTCCTTGACCAGACCTTAACTTCTAAGCAGCTTGAACAGATTTAGATAGATTCCTGCCTTTTTTTGTGGGATTTAGCTTGTAGATGCAGACTTCTGCATGCTTACAGTTGAGTAAGGTAGCCAGGCTTCCTCACAACCTAATTGGAAGATTTGGTTAATCCAGTCAAAAGACTATTGCGTTATTCAACATGTTCTGTGGTAAACATTTTCATTTTGTCACCTGTGGTGTTTTGTACATGGTCCTGAGCAACTGGCTCTAAGTGATCCTGCTTCAGCAGGGGTTGGACCAGATGACCTTCAGATGTCCCTGCCAACCTCAACTATTCTGTGATTCTGTGATTTAAAGCCTTGTCAAGTGACAAGAATTGGACTGGAATCAAAACTATAACTTAATATTATCCTGCATTATTATTTCCTGGCCTATCTCTGTTATGATTTATTACCTGCAGTGTTATAATGCTTGGGGCTGTCAGATCTAGACAAGAGCTGTACTGTATTAGTCATTAATACATGACAAGATGATCTAATTTTATGTACATAATAACACAAGGCTGAACAATATCAGCATTGGGATTGTGGGAATAGGCAGCTGGGATCTTTTCCCAGATCTTCTCTTACACACAAATTCACTAAAGGTCTTTTCTTTCTCTCCTGGTACTCTTCCCATTTTATCTGAGCTATCACTCTTAGAAAAAATCTTTGTTTAAATCTTTGTTTATATTACAGGCTTGTTCTCATGTATTGCAAAGCATTCCAGTCCAAATCATGAAAAAGCAATTACAAATGTACTAAGTCAGTTTGCTGCATCAAAGAAGGAGTGCAAAATCCTGTGATGCATTCATCAGTTTGTATAAAGCAGGAAGGGAAAGGCATTTTTTGTGGCTTTTTTTTTTTCCTCCCAGACTAGGACATTAATTAGACAATTATGCAAGGCTCTGCAGGAAAACAGAGAAAAAGATACCAGTTGCAAGCATAAGACTTCCTTCCAGCAGATCAGTGGAGTGAAAATAACCTGACATCCTTTTCCAACAGGCACCCTGTACACAGTACCAGCTTGATGGCCCGTAGCAATTGCCCATTTTTCTCAAGGATGTTATCCTTAACAGGATCTAAAGGATTTTGATCGAAGTTTTAAAACTTAGGTGTTAAATCTATATTTAGGCATGCAAAGCAAGCAGCCAGAGAGCAGGTGAGGAAACAACAGGAACATAAATCTCTATCTTGCTAATGAGGGCTTGCTTCTGGGGAGTCCTGCCTTGTGGCTTCTTGCAGTCCTGCTCTCCACCCACTGACTCAAGCCATTGCTTAATGCACACTGCCTTCCTCCACCTCTTGGGAGGGTGCTCTTGTACCAGACCACTGGCTGGGGGGACTCAATGCTTTTCTGGGACTGAGGACAGAAAAACACAGGACTGGGGATAGAGAAGAGAAAGGTTGTTCTGTAGGAGATGAGATAAAAAGACAAAGTAGAGACTTAAAAGGAAAGGCCGAAGATCAGAAGAGCAGTGGCAAATAGGAAAAGAAACATCAAACCCAGAGGATGGAAGAATGTCAAGGAAGGACAAACGACAGAGAGAGAAATCCTGTATTATATCACTTAAGAGAGCCAGCAAACTTTAAAACAGCAGAAAAGTTTTTTTTCTTTAATAAGTCTGCTGGCAGATTTGGATAGGGTACCTGCAGCCTTCCTGTAGATTTGGCATGCCATTACAGATTAAAAGGAATATCCAAGGAGTACTACAAAATCTAGTATTAGAGTGGTGTGTTGACTGTACTGATTTGGAAAGCAAGAAACCTAGGGATCCCATCTGTGAGATAATGGATGGGTAGGTGTGAAGAGCTCTCCTTGTCTAGGAAAGAAGTGATTAACTGAGTGAGAAAATAGCAGGGACAAGTGAAACTAGGTTAATTACAGTAGGATAATTTGGATCTGACTTCACAGGCAAGGGAAAAAATCATTAAAAATGGATGTAAAAATAGGGAAATATCCAGTTTCAGGACATTTCAAATTCACATGGCTAGTGCATGAATTGAACCTGAAATGAAGGCAGTGATTGTAGTGATTTAACATGTGACTAAAATGGAGAAACTTGACAGGTGAATAACAGAAGATAACAACTGAGAGGAGAAACCATGTCATACTATACATGCAGTAATGTTCAAAAGAGCAAACGATTTTTATGATCTGTGGATGTCTACACCACCGTGTAGAGTTTGCTCATCAGCACCAATAATAGGTACTGTGTTCCCCATCAAAGAGACCTGAATGACATACCCAGGCCAGAGCTGAGCTGTGCTTCCTGGGGAAGAGATAGGAGCAGGGACAGGCTCTGGAGCAGCCGACTGCGGGCAGTGGGTGAACAGTTGCCCCATGGGGTGCAAAGTGGAAGTGTGGGTGCCTGGGATGCCAGTAGCCCTGCAGCTCTGGCAGCTCCCAGATTACTAGCAGTCCCCAAGCCAGTGTGACTGTCAGGGAAAACAGCAGACCCTGAAAGGAAAGTTCATACTAATAAGACCCCAATTCTACAGACTAGGTCCCTTTATCAAAGATACAGCATGTTTTTACAGCTAGTTCAGATCTACTTAATCTAATTTATTTTCCTTAACGTATTGATATTTAATTTGCTTTCAGAATAATAAATATCTTAAACCATGAAGTCATTAATAGTATCACCCTTCTAGCCTGCCGATTGTTTATCACTCTTGCATATATTCATTTAGAAAATGAAAATTAAATTTGGTGGTAGATAACAATATACTTTTTTTCAGATATGCTGAAAATTGCAGCATTTCTGAGTTCCCTTGATTAATCTGTGTGAGGTAGAAGTGACTGCCTTTTTTAAAAATTACCTTTCCTATTGTGACCATTAGCATATACAAATATTAAAGAAGACCTTACCTGAACTGTGATGATGTTCTAGGCAAGTCAGAACAACTGTAGCAGAACATGCTTGAAAGCTGAAATTTCAAATGAGCAGCATATTCTTTTTTATCCTATTGTTTTAAGTTATTCTTTTATTAACTCATTTTTTGTAGACATCAAGGAGCAAATAAGTGTTAAGGAAAGGCCTGAATCAACTATAGGACGTGTCTGGGTGAGAAGGAAAGCAAAAAAAAAAGCTGAGCATCAGAACACACTTCCAGACAGCAATATCTACCAAAAAGTTTTTCAAAACATTTGAAATTAGACTTAATTTTTACAAGATCACAACCTTGTACTTTTCTCTTTTTACACTGGGTATAATGTTAACAAAAGAAACAAAAAGTCATCCCTTTGTCATCCCATCTGCCTTCAGTGTGGCTGCTGCCCTTCTAATATGTCTTCTTTCGTTTTTGTTTTCAAGGACACGTCATAACAATTTCCCAGAAAAAAACCATACCATGGCTGTTTGGGTCAAACAGTTAGCAGTGATAGTGCTGCTTACTACGGTTGATGCTCAGCTGCTGAAGCCGGCACAGGCCCCTCTGGTTCTGCACAAGCCTTTCATGGTGGTTTGGAATGCGCCGACTGAGCAGTGCAGGCTGCGGTACAAGGTGGACCTGGATCTCAGTGTTTTTGACATTGCATCCAACACCAATGAGACTTTGAGTGGGTCCAGTGTGACAATCTTCTATCACACTCATTTGGGATACTATCCCTACTACTCAGATAACGGAGAGCCTGTCAATGGAGGGGTGCCCCAGAATGAAAGTCTTATCAAACACCTTAATAAAGCAAAGTCTGACATTGACTATTGCATACCCATGAAGAAATTTCAGGGACTTGCAGTCATTGACTGGGAAAACTGGAGGCCCCAGTGGGATAGGAACTGGGGCAATAAAAGCATTTACAGAAATAAATCTCTTGAGATGGTTAGGAGACGGCATCCTCAGTGGCCAGAGGACAAAATTAGGAAAGTGGCGAAAGAGGAATTTGAAAATGCTGGCAAGAGTTTTATGAATAACACCATCCTTCTGGCTGAGCATATGAGGCCAAACGGTTTGTGGGGTTACTATCTTTACCCAGACTGCTACAATTATGATTACAAAGAACACCCCCAAACATATACAGGGAAATGCCCAGCCATTGAGTCTTCCCGCAATGACCTTCTGCTTTGGCTGTGGAGGGAAAGCACTGCTCTCTACCCTTCTATATACCTGGATTATATACTTAAGTCAAGTCCAAATGCACTAAAATTTGTTCACTATCGGGTTAAGGAGGCAATACGCGTTGCCTCAATTGCTAGAAAAGACTACGTTTTGCCTGTGTTTGTTTACTCCAGACCATTTTATGCCTATACTTTTCATGTTTTAACAGAGGTAAGCAGACAGACTTTAGAAATCTAGAGATTAGAAACAGCCTCTTAGAAAAAATATTTTATAAAAGTCTTCCTTGTATAAAAGCATTTTTGCATTTGTTTTTCATATTTAAGGCAGCCCCTATAAGAGGAAGTGCTGTAGTCACAGTGCAAAACTCTACACCTTTCAAAGGTTAATATTGCAGTGCTTTGATCTACTTCTGTAGGATAACATTGTATATTTTTAATGAGGGTAATTTAGAAAGAAAGTACAAAGAAATAATTTCCTTAAGGACGTGATTCATTCTGATATTTTAATTCTTCAGGACAGCTTGTGAAATGAACTTGAGAAATTTTTGTGAAGTTGAAAACTAATTAGTGGAATGGAAAGATAAACTTTCATAAGAAAGAGCCTCAGGGCTTTTTTGTTTCTTTACCCAAATGTAAATTAATTCAACATAGAAATAAACCAGTCGAGTAAACTAGTCTGGCCTGGAGTTCCTAACTCCTGCATGATGAGCATTGGCCATCTTTCTTCTCGGAGGTATAACACAATCAAATATTTTCATGTTCCAACATTTAGTGCTAACACTGTGGATTCCTTTAAATAAAGAAACCAAGTTTTTGAGTCATGCAATGTTCCTTCAACTAATGATCAAGTGCAATAAATATATAGTGGCCACAACATTGATGGTAAAAATATGTGTACAAATCCCAGACTTTCTGGATATGGCATGATGATTGTGGCTCTGACTTTTTGTTTATGCACAGATGCTTAGTCATTTCTCTAGTAGCTATTTCAAGTGCCAAAAGTTTTTCTTTGGTTGCTATCAATTCCACGAGAGGGGAGGAAATCGGGCAGGGAGCTCATGGAAACAACCTCTCAATGGCTAAGGCTGTCTGGGGGTGCTCTCTCCCTTTGGTTTATGGAAAGCTGCATAAGAGCTCACTTCTGCTGCTGCCAGAGACAAGTTCTTGACTCAAACCAGAACAGAAAAAGGGAGGGGGGGGGGGGGGGGGGGGAGGGGGGGGGGAAGGCAACGGTCAGTCCAGCAAACCACAGGCTGCATGTGGCTTCAGCATGGAGCTGGGGCTGGGGAGGCACGGTGGAGCCCTGGCAGCCTGAGCAGTGCAGCAGTGTTCCAGGCTGCCCCCAGGAAGCAAATGCTGCATAGAAGCAATCATTAATTCGGTTTGCCTCATTTTTAGCAACCAGGGACTCTTTGGAGCTGTTTTCCGTGTGGTGTGGAGACTGCAGGTCCTAGCTGACTCAGAAACCATTGGCAAATAGGCAAGGCTGGGTCCCACTGAAGGGAAAGAGCCCCTGGGGTTGGTACAGGCAGCATTTCACCCAGAACACCTTCACTGAAGAACTTGGGCTGTGAAATAAATGAACATTCTTCAAATCCAGGCTGCAATAATACATTTTTATAATATAAATTAGTCCCTTGATTGATATAATAATACCATGAATGTTACTGAAAGCTATGAAAACTAACATATTGCTACCAGTTATGCATGTGTGCAAAATCTGTGGTGGTATAAAGTTGCTGTTTTACCTTAAGCTATTTTCTGAACAGTACAGTGGTAATTTGGAGCAACATTCTTCTTAAGTTATACTCTTTAGATCACTGGCCTGTTTTCCAATTGCATGTAGCCATTTACTTTTGGCTGCTTTAAAGATCATTTTACAACTCTGCAGCCAGGGAAGATCCCTGCATATCCAGAGAAACATCTTTGGGTTATGCTCCACTACATATTTTCTGATAAGGACAGCACCCAGCTCTGCAGGCAGCCATGGGGACAGGGCTTGACATATCTCCAGACTATACACATCATCTGTGTGAACAGCTTGGGGACTACCAAGAACTTGCAGGGTTTCACTTAAGAAAACTAAATAAGAATGATCAGGAAAATAATGTTCTTGTTTTCCTTCATATCCCTGAAGTCACCAAGATGTTTTAAATATGTTTTTTTTTATGTTCAGATTTTATAGTAGACTGTAGCTTCTCATTTGACCAATGACATGCCCCTAAGTGGTGCTCACAAAACCACAAACAAGACATGCAACCTCTGAGCTCCAGCAACAATGTGCATGAATATGACAAAGAAAGGAGCCGGTGTAGTACAATGACATTCAGGCCAAAATGGCCATAGAAAAATTGGATTAGCAGGCTAATAGATACCTGAGCTGTGACAGGGACTGGGCCAGGAGAATTGCTGTCCTGCTCCATCAAGATGTGCAAGAGCCATGGCATTCTGGCCCAATAGAAATAATTGCTGACACATTCAAGCCTTGTGTGTAAGCCGTCCTGTACACAGCATGAAAAAATAGTCAATATCACAGTGGAAGAAAATAGAAAGAATGGTTGCCAGTCAGAGTCACTGAGAGAGAGACACAGGTCTGGCAGACCTTCAGAAAGATGAAAGGCCCAGGTCCCAAATGGATTCTGTAGCTATGTATGCTGTACCTTTCACCCTGACTGCACCTGGAAATCAGGTGAGTTGTGCATAAGGTATCTGAGAAATTCATCCTGCTTTTTTTCTTGGAAACAATTTATAAGTTCTGAATTGGGATCCAAATCATTACGAAAGGTTTCTGTATTTGCTAGAAATGTGTGTAAGTGGTTTGCCATCTGTTGGGTATTTAAAAACTATCTGCCTTGACAATTCAATACTAAGCATGTGGGAGAGGGAAGTTACACAGTAGCATCTGCGCTTCCTGACTAGATATCTGAAGTCATTAATAAAGCAGAGTGGTAACTAACTAACAAATGATTAATAATGGATAACAATTCACTCATTCACCTACAGTCTTCTCTGATGACCAGGTGTGTATGTGTATAGACACCGTTCCCCGCAACTATGCCACGCTTGGATTACCATTCCTGAATACAGAAAAAGCATGTCTGTAGTTAAGACTGTTCAAAATTTAAAGGAAAGATTACAGATGTACTTATTTTTCTTTCCTCAACATGTACCTAGAACTGACTGTCCTGTTTCCTCTCAAGCTCCAAAACTGAAACAGCTTAGCTCACCTCCTATCTTTTTGGTGTCCAATGCAGTGATGTGACTGATCAAAATATGGAGGAGCATTGATAGAAACTAGCACCTACTCCTTCCTGCCAAGCTCGATCTGTCTGATCGGAGATAGCCCAGTGAGGATCTTGGGTTGTCGCACACTGCCCCCAAAAGCTTGAACAAGAATGAGCATCAGAAGGGAAGAGGCTTTGTTGACTTGTTTACCACTTGAAGAAATATGAAATGCCTATGTGGCAGCTGATCCATAAAGTTGCTTCTTCAGAACAGTCCTCTAACATGGAAGGATGAGGATCTGATACAAGGAGTAAAATAGGATTTCCCATCTAGACAAATGCCAAGATGCTCATATTTAAAATTATATCTAAAATTTTTTAAATTTGCATGTTTCCTTCCATATGAGGTACCTCTTACACAAAAGAGCTATGCCAGTGAACCCCCAGTAATGCCAAGCTGTGCTGTGTGAGCAGGAGCTCTAGATTCAGTCCCAAGACCAGGACGGCTGTGTCTGAGGCCACTGGTGGAGCTTATGTGCCTCACTCAGGGCTTCATTAAGGCACCTCCCTATCTCTGCTCCCAATTTGCCACTCAGCCATTATGAGAGGCACTTACCTTTCCTTTTCTCAAAATACCCAAATGGGGGGGTGAAACTTTTATTTTCTAACCCTGTTTGTGTCAGGGGAGGGTGGTGGTGGTGCCTCTCTCTTTGTGTGACTGTCTGGTGGTCAGAGCACCCACCTCTGGTGTGGGAGCTCTTGGTTCAGTTCTCTTCCCAGCCTGCTCAGAATGAATCCAGCACCCTGTGTTAGGCACCGGGAAGGAGTTAGGGAGTCACTAGACCAAAAAAACCAAGTGTACGAGAAAGCAAGAATAAAAGAGAGGGTGCAATCTCCTGTTCACAGGTTATTCAGGGAAGAGCCCTTCTGTGCTGATGGCTTTTGAGGGACTGAACATGAGTCAGTCATTCTGTAAAAGATATAACTATGCCTAGAAATGACAGTCAGAAAACCTACATCTTTCCTTGTGGGCAAGTTATTCAACTGTTAAGCTGAATTCCTTGTAAGCTGTAGACAGGTTCCCACTTGTTTCTGTTGCTCTGCTTTGAACCTTCACTGAATTGGTGCAAAGTGAAATGGCATCAGAAAAAGAAATGGCACCCCTCTAAATGTGGTCTGTAACCTCACAGTGAAGGTAAACCCCTCCAGGGCTAGCTGGAGATGACGTATCTTTTAAGCATGTGGGAAGAGAATAAAATTCAGCTCATGTCATTCTAATTCTCTTTCCTCTTGGAGAGGATTCTTAGCATTCAACCTTTGTTTTAAATAATATGAAAAAAGGAAATATAAGTTGGAAGGAGAGTGTTTAAATGAAGTTCCATACAATTTTTTTGCAGTGAGCTGCTGTTTTCACCAGCATCCAACACCTATGCAGGTGCTAGAAGAGTCCTTTAAGTAGTCCTAGGGGAATATACCTTCCAATCAAATGCCAGATTTTGGCCTTAGCCTGAGAAAAGTGCTGAGTTTCTCGGCATTGTCAAGGTGGTAATTCTAGCTGTGAGGGGAAGTGGAAGCATAGGTGCCTCAGGAGCTTCAGTTGTGAAATTACCATTGCCATTGGACTTCACACACCCAGAGGACTAGGTGAACTTTAAGGGTCATGATCCTGGTTTTGATTATTTTATATCCATATGAATTAGGCATGAAGTGCTGACATCCCCTTGTGGACCTGAATCTAAACGATTCCTAAAAGTAACAAAAGGAAGATGGGGAATATGAGGGAATAAAAATTGGATTTACTGACTCTTGCTGAAGTACCCCAACTCTTAAAGCATATTACTTACAAAATCTGTATTTCAGGGTTTGCTCAGGTTTTAGTTCATCCAGCAATGGTAAATATCTATTGATTATTTATTTTGGCTGTCTGAAAAGGTGTCATTAATTTGTTAATAACATCTAAACTGTGTTAGTGATAAATCATTCAACCATCATCTGGTTAATGTAGAATCACAGTCCAGCCTTTGTATCTGGGTAATCTTCTTAAAATGTTTTGCAGATGGGGAAAGCCTGGTAACTCTCATTATCAAGAGGTCAGGCTATATTTCACATTCTCTTAACATTTGGTATTTTGATCTTTAATTCACATACATTTTTTTTTTTTAACTGAAAAATTAATTCCCATAGAAAAAAAAAAAAAAATTACCACAGGAAAGTGACACCTGCAGCCCACACCACTATCCTTATAAAACTAGCACTGGACTATATACTTTTAAGAGTAATGACATTCTCTAAAAGACTGGATGATCATCAGCAACATGAACTTCAGGAGAGACCAATTACACTTTATATTACTCTGAATCCTACACTAAGAGCCACTAGGTAAGCTCTACTCTTTCAGACATCTGCATGTTTCCTTGCACTGTTTTGTCTAACCTTTAGTTAAGGGTCAAAGTCACTGCTCACTCTGACTTCTCTGTGATTGCTTTCAAGTCTTCGGCGGATTCTCCCTTTCCCAAGGCATTTATTTGTGCCTTCTTTCATATCTTTCAGACTGTAAAGATTTCAGGAATAAGGACTCCTTAACTATGTATTGATAAATCAACAGGCCCACTTACATGGTGAAATAAATTATTTAGTAGTAATTAATAACAGTTCTTTCACTGTAACATTTTGCATTTCTAAGGTGCCACTACCATACTGTAGTAATCTGGCTGTTTTTCTGGATTGTTTTCTCCTAAAAAGAGGTGAAAAGACTGTATCAAAGGCCATCACTAAGTTTTTAAAGGAATTTGCTGTGTCTTCATCACATTGAGACATATTTTAATATCTGTCATTAGAAATACTGATCAGAAATTGCTTTCTAATCAATTATTGTAGACAGAAATGGTTTTAGATGTAATTGATCATGTCTTGAAATTTGGGGGTGGAAGAAGATCCTTCCTCTATATTTTCTAAGATTTAATTGCATTTCTCTAGACAGAATATTCACAGTCTCAGGGAATGGCTTTAAGACACTTGCAGGGTACGTTGGTAGGCCTTGGCAAGGCACCAGTGGCTCCTATTCTACACACAGTCTGTGCTCTAGTAGATCTGTATTACTGCTATTGCTACAACTCTACTGCTTATTGGTGCAGCTCTAAAAGTAGACAAGGTTAAGTCAGTATTCAAATGTGTGTGCTTTTTTTTCCCATTTGGCACTATGTAGCACTGGGAGAGGTGCATTTTTTCAAAGATATGTTTTCTGGAATAACAGCGTTCACACTGGTAGGAACAGCAGCTCTGTACTGTATTGTCGTAGCTAAAGCAGCAGAAGTTAGATCCCTGCCTAAAGCCTACCAATTGCAATCAGATTCTGTAAGGGTGAACCAAAGGCATATGACCATATTTATCATCACTTGCCAAAAATGGTGCCTATGTAGGTATGATAATCATTCAAATATGGTAGATAAAGTATATAATTCAAGTCTTACTTGACCAGGCTGGTTGGAGGATGTCTTGTGAATAAACTATAATGATTTCATTATTTAGTAGTCACACTCATGAGTGTAACCTATGCAAACCTTTGGAGGTACATATAAGAGCTTTCTAAACTAAATAGTGATTTTATTGTGAATATATCACAGGAGTGATGTCTCCTATGGGGGAAAAAAAAAAAAAAAAAAGATGCCCATACCCTAGTGCTTTTTTTTCTTTTATTTTTATATCTTTGTTTTTCTGATGTCTGGTTTTGACCTTCGTTTTCAGATGGATCTTGTCAATACCATTGGTGAAAGTGCGGCTTTGGGGGCAGCTGGAGTTGTCCTCTGGGGCAGTATGCAATATGCCAGCTCAAAGGTAGGTCGTATCACTTTATTAGGGTTTAGGAATCACCTCAGTACTACTTCTCTGACACCACACCTTCCATAGCACCTATCTTTATTGATGTCATTAGCCAGCGGCTGAGAACTATGGCTCAGTACTACTTCCAGGTCTTGTTAGGTCTGTATTTTCATTAGGCTGAGAAGTCCTGTTGTTTCAGAGCACATTGATTTGGGCAGGTCATTTGTAGAATTGTGGAATAATGAGCCCAGGTTAGAAGAGAGGCATGTTTTGAACAAATATAAACACAGCTTGTTTTACAGTGTTTTACTTCGTAGCTGTGGCTGTTTGTACACATCCACAGAGAAGGAATGGAGACTGGAGTTATTTTCTCTGGTCACTAGTGTCGAAATGATGCATGGAAAATAATGTTACTACAAGAAAAGGCCTAGTTCCTCCTCCCAGGTTCTTCAGGCTTTCACAAATAATTCTTCCTAAAGTGATGGAGCAGGCAGGAGACTGGACTGGGATTTCACAGGAGGCACTGCAAATTGACCCCCTATCCTAAACCTAAGCTGGGCTTTGGTGCCCACCCCACTTTTCATGCAGCCTGCTCTCCTCCTCCTGAAGTCTAGCAAAGCACCACTGACTTGGGCAAAGGAAGAGGGAAAACTAGACTGGAACTTTGTAGCCACAATTGCAGCAACTTTTGTGCCGGTTTATGAAAATTATGTGGCTCCTGTTATGATCTGGACTGGGAACCCAGGAAGTCATAAAGCTTCTGTGATCCCCTCGGGTTAAATTAAGGTGAAGTGACACCAAATGACCAGTTAAAATGTTTTACTTGTGGTAGAAACAACTTAAACTTGGAAACGGATAGTAAGAAATGTGACCTCCTATTGATAAATCTATAAGAAAGAAAAGAAAGGAAAGAAAAGAAAAGGAAAGCAGATGGACACAGAGAGGAAAGGAGTCAGGTTCACCACACCTGGTTCCAGTTTTGTCTCAGGTCCAGAAAGCTTGGGTGGTGGGTGCAAAGTTTTCTGTTGCCTTTTAAGTTCATCTTATCAGCTGATTAGCATAGTAGATCAAAAGAGGCAAGTATTCTATGAACTTATTTCCACGAGAAATGAGGAAAAGGTGGAGCATGGGTTCTGCATATGCACTGAGAGGCAATGGTGTACACCAATCCCTTTGTCAATGGAGTTGGTGGTCATGCTCGTACACCCACCCTTATTTTTAACTCAGTTTTTGCTGAGGTCATTCTCATGCTGGTTATTTATCTCTATTATCAATCTTTTAACCCAAATATATGGTTTCAATGAGTCCACATTTCCCTCCTTTGAGGTTTATCTAAGGAGTTTGGCAATACAACCACAAGAGAGTGAAGCCGTCCATCCTTCGATAATCTCTGGGCTTCCTTGGGCAGTGCTCTTTAGACTAATCACAAAGACCACAGCTTGTCAAAGTTGTCTGTGTCAATGAATGTTTGAGTCATTAATTAGCTCAGTTCCTTACAGCTCCTAGTAAACTCAAGGAGTTGGAAAGATCAGGACCAAAGTGGTGACTAAATATGTGCTATAAAACCTATTAGTCCCATGCGCTGCTCCTTGTAAGCAGTTACCAGAAATATCTGCTTAAGGAACTAGTTAGTCTCAGATTAGCATATAAACTCTCTTTCTGTTTACTAGGACTCCTCCCTAGTCTAATACTGTATTTCTACCAAGCACCCAAATAGACAATATAGTAAATGTCAATAATTTGCTAATCTTACCCATGGAAGTCAGATCTAATGCTAGCTGCTGAGAAACATGTCATGGTCTTTTATTATCTACAGGAGAGCTGTTTAACTGTGAAACGGTACATTGACGGACCCTTAGGACATTACGTTATTAATGTGACCTCAGCAGCCAAACTCTGTAGCAAAGTCCTGTGCAAGAAGAATGGAAGATGTATCCGCAAAAACAGTGACTCTTCTGCTTACCTCCATTTGTCACCCACTAATTTTAAGATTCGAGCCCGTCACTCAGACAGGGACCCCAGGTTCCAAGTGACTGGTGAACCCAGCCTGGAAAGTATTGAAGCCATGAGGCAGAGATTCATGTGTCAGTGTTACCAGGGCTGGACAGGAATATTTTGTGAATTGCCTGACCGAAGGCTAATGGAGCGCTGGGTTCATGCTGTGTTCAGTAGATCAAGAAAACAAAAGCTTTTTGTCTTCCTCTTAGGAGCCATGCAGCTTATTCTGCTTTGTACTGCACACTAAAGTCTTCTGAGGCAGTGCAAGGAAATAAATGGTGCCACTAATAGTTCTGTTACTTAGCAAGTTTTTATTGCACAGGGAAAAGACACTGTTGATTAAATAGTTTTATTCTGTTTTCTTCATTTCCCACTCCTGGAATTCCTTCAGACATTAAACATTTTGAAAGAAGCACCCTCTTTTTTACCAGTTCCTTTACTCTTAACTCATGTTTTACTCATACGTTCAACAGATAGTTTCTGCTGTAACAGTGGAAGCTTTACCTGGGTAAAAATGGTGAATAAACTTGTGCAAGGATTCATCCATGTAGAAGCTTAAGAAAGGACACAGAGCCTATTTGCTTTAGAGCTGGATGATTTAACATATGGTGATAAGGAAAGTCTTCAGGTGGACCAAGGATCACTAACCATTTGCTGCAGCTCTTGGTGAAGACAAATGGCATTTTGTGTGAGCAGCAGCACTGTGCCCAGAACCACATCCACTGCAACTCACTGCTTCCGCATGGAAAATGTGAAGAGTATAGAGTTATACATCAGTGCACACTTTTAAAAACGTATATTTCAGTATTTCAAGACCTAATTTGATTCATATTACTTCTAGAGGTTTCAGTATTTCCAGTGGTAGTTTTGTACCATCAGTTTCAAAGGTACTGTTTGACTGAAAATCTCTGCAGTTGTGAGTTATTGGGTCAAATGTTCATTTTCCCACCACACCAGCCAACCAGCAGAACATTTATGTGTTTAGGTGAGGAGCCCTGATCTCTGAGAGCAGTACTGGAAGCTGGCTCCTGACCCGGGTCAGGCAATGGGAGAGCACTTGTCCTCTCGCTCCGTCCCTTGGGAAGCAGGCAGCCTTGCTGCTTGGTATTGTGGCTGCTGCAGGCCTTTGCTTTCTGCTCTGCTAACTACACTGGTCTCTAACTCTGCTCTCCTACTGCCCTCGAGCAGTCACTCAGTGACTGGGAAATGGGAACAGGCTGACAGATCCCACTGCCTGTGTGCATCTCCCTCGTGCAGGGGAGGAGAAGAAGAACTCTACTCGCTAGCAACATTTTGGCTTGGAGTCTTTGGCTTCATATGGGGACCTCTCTGGATGTGGTATAGCTTAACGAACTACTGATTACTGGTTAATTTGGTGTCCATAACACTTCATCCTGTCAGACTGTGACATGTCCATTTGCAGTTATTCATTGGTCCATGTTTATGTGTGAACAAACATATTTCATCAAAGACCTATCTGTCTTCCACACAGCCTTTCAACGTAATAAACAATTAATGCCTTCACTGAATTGAAGACAAAACCAAGAAATTCTCTGCATCTCTCTGACTTAGGGAAGATACTCAAATAATTTTCTTTTGTATGATACATTGATCTGAGTACCATGAGCACGGACACAGAAATTAATAAAAAACCCACATGTGGGTCTATGACATTTTTTTTACCCTGACTAGTGTTTGTATTCATTATTTGTAACCAGAGTTCATTGCTCACATTACACAGTACCCTATTCCTGTATCAGTTTGGTTAAAATCAGAAAGGCTGTGTGGAGAGGTTACTCAACTGAGTAGGGAAGTCTGAATTTGGCCCTTAGTCAAGCCCCCTTTCTTGATACTGCCCTAAATTACTTTAAACATTAACATATCTCTATGCATTATAATCTGCTGGTGTGGCATATGTTCTTTGTAATGGCCTGTTATCTCTGAACTTTTCTTCATGGTAACCCCACAAAAAACTTTGTTTGGTTTGCCAGGATCAGATTCAGAGCTGGTGTGAACTGTGATGCTCAGATTCACTCAAGCCAAAGACCCAGCTCATAACAGAGCTGCAGTGGATATGCTAAGGCTGCAATGATCCCTTTAAACCTAGATGCTGAAATGGGACTGACTTCAGTTGAATAGAGACTTACTGCTAGCTATAGTGACTCACTCTGTAACGATGTGCTGTGCTGAGAAGCTACAGGAGAGCTTTGCCACTGACCTTTTGCTTTGTAGTGTGTAACAGCAATGGATGACAACAAAAGTGAAAGTAAAGAACTGAATTATTTTGGCGTGGGAGAGAAAGGATTAAAATTAAAGTTTAGAAAATCTGACAGTTAAGAACTATGCCTTTAGAGTGAAGCTAGAGTGTTTACCTTTTCAAATATTTTTTATTGATTACATACATTCTGCTTTAGCTCTTTTATTCAGTTCAGAGTTTGCGAAACTTCAGGGGGAACTTACATACACTTTAGTGTATTGAGAGGATGGAAATTATTAGCCCAGTTTTGCTAAATGCCTGTCACCAGTGCAGCTTTGTATTTAAACTGGATGCTCCTGCTTTGTGTAATGCTGTCCTGTGTTCTGAAACCAGAGGTGATGTGAATTCCCATGCTGTAATCCTCATGCACTGTGTCAGTGAAATGTGTTTTTAAAACATGTGTTGCTTTGTAAAGTGTTTCCATTATTTCTGTGGGCTTATAAGAATGAACTGTGTTGTGACTTATATATACAATTTATTTGGATAGCATAAATTCAATTAAACTGACATAAGGTCTTCATCAGCTAAAGTTCTGGTACTTTGTGGGAAGTTTATACAAACTATACAAATGCTATGAGTGAAGTGGCAATATTCCTGATTCGGTGTGTGATGTATATTCTCTATTTGGTACACTGGCAGAGCCCTATTAAAGTCAATAGGGCTCTGTCAGTTTATGTCAAGTGTAAATTTGCCCAATGGTTCTTTAGTTTAAGTTACCACTTCACACAGAAGAATATATGAGTGTCTGTGGTAGTACCTCTGCCTTGAAACAAAGGGGTTTTACTTTTGCTCCTGTACTTCTGTGAAGAACCACAAGGCCAGATCTGCATCCTCAACACCAGGTTGTCTTAGGTAGAAGACTAAAATCAGAATTTGGTCTGGGCTTCTTAATAATTATTGAAGGAACCGAGTATCTAAACAAAAGTAATTTTATAGACTTTTTTATATTTCAATTAGTTAGAGCCCTTTCTTTTGCAAGGAAAGTAAGATTTACCATTAGACAATGTCCCTGGAAGTGCTTTGCAACTACAGCTGCCAGTGGTGGGGTTGTAGGCAGCCATGCTGCTGACTGAGGGCAAGTGGAGGTTGCACAGATGCATGTAAGGGCTCCCACATCTTGCATGCTCCCATGTGGGACCACTAACTCCCCCTGCCCGCTATCAAAGTCAGGATGCATTTGATCCCCTTCTCTCCACCGGTGACTATGCCCTGCGTCACCTATCAGGATAGGGTCACAATGTGATGCTGCATCAGAGCTCTACCAGGGTGGGTGCAGGATGGGACCATGCAAGGTTGGCTGGAGCCTGATGCTTGGCAGAACCACAGACCACGCACCACCCTGCAGGGCCAGCTGCCAGCTACCTCCTCTGCTCCCTTCCCTTGTTTTGTGGGTGCTTTACACACACTGGGGGGACTTGGAACCCCTCCAGTGGAGGGTTTGCTGACATCCTGGTGTCTTTTTTTTTTTTTTTCTCCTCCCTGGGGAGAAATGTGAAATATAGTCAAAACCTTGGTAGCAAGCATTTTTTACCTTCTGTTGCCATTAAATTCCTACTAGTCTTACAAATAAGCAATGAACTGATTGATTCACTTAATCCAACTCTGAATACTGAAATGAAATTCAAGTGAATAGGCTTTCTTGTAAAGCTCAGCTACCTGGAAGGTAAGGACAATGCATATTTTCTTTTTTTTTTTTTTTTTTTCATTGATCCTTACAGGTTGTATGGTCCAGTCTTTGGAGAGACATGATCCAGTTTCTATCTGTGATAGAATTATTTGGAGGAGGGAGAGTTTGAAGCAGCAGAGAACCATGCTATAACTTTTATGATGATGTCCTTAGCTATAACCAGCCCTTAAAGCATAGCTGATCCTGGGAAGTGGGCATTGGTTACTGGAGATAATAGGAATAAGGATTTGCTGTATTTCATCTAAACCACCTCTGCTTCAGGATGATAACAGACTCAGACCCCATATCTTTACTGTCCCTAAATGCTGAGCTGTATAGTGCTCTAACCCTTTGCTTCTCATCAGAGGATAAACAATACCAACAGAAGCACGACTTATAGGCTTCCAGCTTTTCTCAAATTTGCTGATTTATCATTCCAAAACTTTGAAATCTGGGGCAATGTTGTGGTCATTTCCTTTTTCTCTCTCACCACTGCTGGCTGTTTCACTGAATAAAATGTTGTATGTTCTAAGCAACTCATAAGCGTATGGAAAGGCTGGGACTCATTTTATTTCACTTCAGTCCAACAGGTAGATGTGGTAGATATATGGGGCTGTAGTTCCAGTTTGACCAGCTTTTGGTGCCACTCCTAACCTTTCCTCTCACTCCCACCCCTGTATTGTGGTGTGCTGTCCCCTGCTTGAGCTGGCATGGCTGTTCAGCTGCCCTTGCGTTGATCTGAACTGATCCAGGTCAGAAGTCCCTTTGTTAAAAAAAAAGTTGCCTCTCTCTGATGATTTTCTTCTAAAGCCAGATTAATTCCTCTATCTGCCTCACATCGCACTGTTCACACAGCTAAGCCAGGGCTAAGGAAGTGGGCAAAACCCATAGGGAAGTAGTAGCAAAGCTGTAGGTTGAGTATTGCCACTCAAGACAATAAAAGAGTGAGTAAGCAGCCTTGGTATGCAGCTGGCAGCATCGGTCCTGGCTCACCTAAACCAGACCCTGGGGTCCAGGGGGCAGCGGGGGGCAGCACCTGGCAGCCTCTGCCCTGCTCCGTGCCTCCGTGGGGGACAGCGGGTAGCACACTGGCCCAAGGACGAGGGGTACTGCCATGCCAGGGCACCTCCTGGGCTCCCCCAAAGATGAGGGGCCTTGCGGTGACCCGCCCAGACCTCAGTGCCTCACCAGATGCCAAAGTCAGTGTAGGTAAAGCTTGCCTGAAGTGGCCCAACTTGGGGACATGGATATTTAACAAGTTTATGAGTCCCCTTTTGCCACTGAGTCTTTAAGGTGAAAAATAATGAGAAAGTCTCACTGGCTAAACATAATCACACTGGAAATTTTGTGCTTCATCAGCTTCTTCCAAATGCAGTGATCTCTGCTAGGGTAGGTGGCTTTGTAAAAATGAGAATTACGTTGTTTAAAAAAGTGCTAACAGTCCTCACAGACAAAACCAACAGAATCAAATCTCAGACCAGTTTGGATTTGTAATACTGTGCACAAATACGCATGTGTACATTTCTTCTGTTAAAACTCCTTGCTAAGAAAAAAAAATGTGCTTAAATTAAAAATTACCTTGATTTTGCACTGAAAGCATTTGTTGTAGATAGTGAATTAAAATTGCACATCATGCATAAGAAGACATATGAAAGTTTTTTTGCCAAAGAAACTTTGATATGCTTAAGATGCTGAGGCAGCCACAACCTCTTTCTTGTGTACGTTTCAGGAAAAGTAATTTCCTGTCAATCTGGGCCAGACTTGGAGAGTGATAGTATTTGCAAGCACAGGTTACTCTAAAAATAAGTTGGAAACAATAGCCCTGTACACTTCAAAGAACAATACTGGCTGGGAACGGTACAGCTTCTCAGACACAGAAGTCTGATCCTTCAAAAAAACCAAGGAAAAACAATGCTGTCACTGCTTCATGAGATTAAAGCCTGTAAATTGCTCTTATTCAGCAATGGCACTGTGTGTTTCCCCCATATGACAGCACGCAGAAGTAAGGAGCAGTTAGAGGTCACATTAGAAAGGAGGGGAGAACTCTTTCAGTAGCTTCCCAAAGTAAGTGTGTGTTTCAGACTTAACTTTGGAGCTTTTAATAATTACAACACACCAGTTTATCCTTTGTTTAATGTCACCAGAGTAATTCCAAGGTAGTATTTTTCTGATTCAACAAATACCTTGTTTAGGCTGTAATAAGAAAACAAGGGGATATATGTGTCTGTTACTACATGTACGTGTGTATATGAATGAGCATATGTGTGTATATATTGTAGTACATCTGTCTGTAAGTTTGACCCAGAAGCAGCAGAACAGTTACGAGGGGTGTGAGGCTTCGTTTTCTGCCTGGTGGGAGCAAGCTCAGAGGCAGTTGTGTAACCTCATAGCTTGGCACGTATGGTCTCCACTGCCGTGTGGATTATGTCTATTATGTAACCACATTTATACAGGAAACTAACAGCATCTAACAAGCTAAAAATAAGCAGACTTCTATAATTTCAAAGGACAATATTTTAAACTTCCTTCATGCGGCTGCTCCTATTTCAACAA